CCTGTCTCGATTCCTGGGAATCCAGATTAGACAGGTGTTTTTCACTCGGAAACTAAGGAGATCTTACAGAGGTTGAATTTCATGCTGGGGCCCCAAAGGTTGGCCTTTGTGAAGACAGGCAGGGAGGGTGAGGGGGAGATGGAGGAAGCAGTAAGATTGGACTGAAGAATGGAACCCTGGTGTGAGGGTTCCAGGTATTAAAACTGGGTCCTGGGTACCCGGAGGGCATTATTACTGGACGAGGGAGGATCTGGGGTGGCTCCTGTTGGTGAATGTCTTGGGGACCATTTCCCAGCCAATAAATAGTACAGGGGCAGAGAGTTGTGCACATAGAGAGAAATTCCCAATGCATGAAGAAGAGCTCTTCTAAGACGAATTTCGAGAGACCTACTATCTAAATAAGGAGACAGGAGCAATGGAGAGCCATCCTGTCATGCCAATGTCGAGTGGGCAGCTGCTTGCATTTTGCACCAGTGGGAGCGTCTGGCTGGGAAGGAGGTGTCCGGGGACGGGAGGGCAGAGGCCTCCATGAAAGACCCATCACTACCTTCATGACTCGGGAGTCTCCTTTGCACGATCACAGCCATCACCTCCCAAAACACAACCATTCTGCCTTTGCTCCCCTCAATGGCGTCTCCCCTCTTCTGTGTGTGGAGTGAGTGGAGAGCTCTGGAGAAGGTGGTGTCTAAGCTGTCCAGACATCTCTAATGATGAGTTTGGGAAAAGGCTCCTAACACCCGGAAGTATGAACAGAGCCCACCAGACTTGCAAAGGTGAAAGCAAACAGAGTTTAGTTGCAAAGAAGCAGGAATGAATGTTTCCAGGTTACTACCTTCTCCCTATCAGAATAATGCCATAAGCAGGCCAAATAGAGTGAGATTTTTTGTGATCAGTACCTTCTAGGGCATTAGCTGATGCAGGCTGTGCCCTGTCCAAGGGTGACCAGCCTGGAAAGAAAGTGAGAGATCAAACTCCACCTATCCTCCATGCACCATGCCCTGGAAGCTGATATGAAGCCCAGAGTAAGGGGTACTAACTCTTTTCTAATTTGTCTTGGCCAGAAGGGGTGCAGTTTTTTAATTTATGACCCTTAAGGAGCACCTTTTCCTAACCTTTCCTAACTAGTTCCTTCTCAAAAAAACACTGAATTCCCAAAGCTGTCAGTCACTCAGCTGGACTCCATTAGGGCCTGGCCACCCAGCCATCTCTACCAACAAATTAAGTTAGGGTGGGCACACAGAGGCTCCCAAGGGACCGTGGAGCAGCTCTGTTCACCGGACAAGATTTACTGGGTACCTACTCTGTGGCAGGTGCTGGTGGGTCCTGGGCTGCAACATTGAACCCATCATGGTCCTTTCCTCAACAAGATCCCCCCACAAACTGGAGAGAGAAGCAATAAAATAAGCAACTATCCTTTTGAGTAACAATGCTATGGTGAACAGATAATGCTCATTTTTGAGTGAGTGAATGAGTAAAAGATTGAATGAATGAATGAAGTACAGAGTATTGTGCTATCCTGGTCTAGAAGATCAGAGAGGTAGGAAACCTGGAAGTTGAATAAATTTAGCCATGTGAAGTAGGAAAGAGGAGGAATGTTCTGGGCAGAGGAAATGGCATGTGCACATGGCATGGGGTTAGAAGAACAAGATGGGATGCCAGCAAATTGATCATTTTAGGTTGTGGGGTCCAGGGTGGGATGGTGTGGAAGAGAGTAGAAGAGATGGTACTTGTAAAGTATAAAGAGCTGGGTTGTAAAGGGCATTGTAATTCATGTCAAAGAGTTCAGATTCATCCAAAAAAAAGCGGGGGGAGACTTTTAAACACACGGGAGAGATTGGTATTTTCAAGTACCAAGGTCAATCCAATGAGAACATTTCAATAGTGCCTTTATTTTGGTTTTATGTTGTTGATGGAAAAGTGTGATGCCTTGCAGATTTCTTCAGTTCTAACCAAACAAGTTACACACGGATAAGTCACAGCCAGGTGGACACACTCTGAAATTATTCCCATGAGCTCAGGGTGTCGGGTTGAGAAAGTGAACACAACAAGGTCCCCTTCTTTATCTATTAGCCCCGAGAGGCCTCACCGTGGAGAAATCCTTGCCCATGGGGACCCATGATATACTAGGAAAAATGCTTTAGAAATTAGTGGTCAAGACTGGGAACAAGTACCTGGGAGAGAAAGGCCCAGCCTGGATGCCCCCAGGTAGCAAGCCACATGATAATGGAAATCATTGCACCCACAGGCCCCTGCCCTTGAGTTATCTTCCAGCCCAGCTCCCTCCAAGATGAACTTGCCTGATTCACCTGTAATGCACTGGCCAGCAGCCATTCACCACCTCTGGGGCAAAGATTCCACACACCAAGCCCCAGCCTAAGAGCTCAGGTCCCAGGGTCTGGCTGCCTGGCATGATGCTTTCTCATTCCTGACACAAATGGTGGAAATACACATGTGACCATTGAACTCCAGAGGTGAGAAAGCCGTGGCATCCAGACTACAAAAAGGGAAGACCATGGGAGGACCTGAATGAGAACAGGGCTTTACGTTATTTTAAAAGAAGTCTTACTCTAGAAAACTCCACTTGGGCAACCTTATTTTGAGGTCCCCAAGCAAAGCTAGCCAGATTGCCAAGCAGGTGAAGTGGCAGCCACACTGGTTGGCACTTGGTCTGAACCATCACCTTGCCTGTGTGCAAAGCCTCCTGGGAGTATCCCGCAAAGGAAGTCCTGCCTCCCCAGCCCCAGGAGCTGACATCCTGAGCTACTGGAATGATCTCTGCTATTCTCGCAGTTCCGGTGTCTCTGTGTCCCACCCTCATGACTAATTGCTGAGAAGGTAGAAATGGTTCCCTACGAAAGCACAGAAGTCCCCCTCCTTTAGGCCCAAGGAGCACAGGATAAAGTGGGGAGAAAAGCAGGCTCTTGGTGGTGAAGGTTGCCCTAATGTTTGTAGGACCCGGGGAAAGAGTAGGCAAGAAGGTCCCCATACAAGATGTCTAAGTGTTTATAAATGTATTAGCAAACGTAAATAAAATACGTTCTCCTATCTTGGCAAACATACCTTCAAAATGATCTGAATGTCAATTTTAAATTTAGAATCTTGGATCCTTCAGAGTACCAGGCCACGACACGGCAGTGTGGGGACAGTCTGGCCCTGGGACCATCCCTTTCTCTTCCTGCCTCTGGCACTATCCAGTACTATTATGGGCATCACACACAGATGCACGTAAACACCTCAGCCTGAACATCCAAGTTCTGTCCAAATAGCCACCCTTGGACCTAGGAGTGTGCATACTTGAAGCATGGTCTACCTACAGGAGAACAGATCCATGAATGAGGCCTATACAGAGATCCTGAAAGGGGGCTCAGGGACCATTTAAACAGAGAATTCTGGGATCTCAGGTACCCAGAGAGAGGTCTGGGCAGGGGAGTACTTTGCAGGGGGTGCTCTCTTGGCCCCAGAGATTTCTCGCCCTGCAGAGACGGTTATAGCTAGAGGAGACCCAGGGCAGGGATCCCTCTTGCCCACAGTGAAGCATGGTATTGTCGGCTGGGCCCAGAACCAAACCCACTGTGTCATCCCAGCCATGATACTGGTCTGAACGTTTAAAGAAAATGTTAAAGAAAACCATGCTTCTAAATATGCAATTACCTTCCTGAGTATGGGCTGCCTACCACCTTTCTCGCTCCTTCATTTGTCCTAGATCAGCCCCAAACAGGGTTCTGGGAGCCCCTTTATATTCCCAATCACCCCAAAGCCAAATCTCCAACCCCCTTCCAAAATCCTATGTTGCAAGCATATCCTCCGTGTGCCCTAGGTTGATGCAATACTCCAGCTCCCACTTGCATATTCAGTGAGGGTTTCCTGCTCAGACTGGGCATGAAGGGATTGGCTAGGTTGACTAGGGTAGATACCCTTAATGAGAAAACCAAACCGAATTGATGCCCCACCTGTCAAAAGCACTAAAAAAAACCCCAAAAAAACCAAAACTCAAAGTTCAGGGCCAAGTTTGAGGATGTGCAGAAAGGTGTGTGTTTTTTCTTGTCATTTGCGACTCTAACGATGGACTCACGTTGCCCGCTCTTCCCTTTCTCTTACACCTTACCTACCTACTAAAGGAGGAGTTCTTGCTTGGTAAGTGGATATAATCCGCAAAGACATGAGAGAATTTATTAGAAGCCACTCAAGAGCCTTAGCTACCTTCTACAAGGGGAAAAGGACACACACAAATATCTGTAGAGACCTTTTTTTTCATTTGTTTTCGGTCAGACTATTTGACTTCCATTTTTTTTTTTGTCCTCCCCTCTCTTTCTTTTCCCCTTTAGTTGAAAACTGCTAAAATGTCAGTTTGTGACCTTGACTTTATGTTTAAAAGAAAAAAAAGAAAAAGAAAAAACCAAAACTCTCATCTTTATTTCATTTCTTTTCCCCATGTGATATTTGTTTAGGGTTCTATTCAGGCAACTTTTTCTTTTTTAAAAAATTGTTCAAATAATTGAGGATTTGGTTGAAGTTTAAAATTTTGGCTTTATCTCCTTTTTTTTTTTTTTTTAATTTCCAAGATATATTTTTTCCAGGCCCATAGCCCCATTTCTTTTCCCCCTTCCCCTTCCTTTATTTTTATTATCGTTTTAGGTTGAGTTAAGGGTGTTTACACACCCCCCTTCCTATTGAGTTGACTCTTTTGTTTAATTCATTAGAAATTAAATTTTGTATAATTTGCCTTTTCTTTTGTTTAATCTGGATCGCATGCTTTTTCTTTGCATGATACCTAAATCTTCCAGTTATCCTAGCAGGGGGTAAAAAAAAAATATATCTCCTTTCTGTGGTATTCTTTCAGGAATTTGTGCTTTTGTTTTTTGGCGTCTCTTCTTTCTTCTCCTCTCTCTCTCTCTTTCCTTTCGTTACAGTGCATCATGACGGTAAACATTTCTTGGTTATTTAGACACAGCCCACGGGCCCAGCTCTCAGCAGTGTCCAACGGGTCTTTTTGCTTTCAGATCACTGGGTCGGGGTCTGCTGCTGACCTCTTTACCAAAACAGCCAGCCCGCTCACCACCTCCCGAGGACGCTCCCAGGAGTACGACTCAGGCAATGACACATCCTCGCCACCCTCCATGCAAACCAGCTCAGCCAGGTCTCGGGGCCAGGAGAAGGGGAGCCCCAGTGGAGGCCTAAGCAAGAGCCAGGAGCTCAACAGTGGCAACACCTCCGATTCAGGGAACTCCTTCACCACTTCCTCCCCCCAGACCAAGGGGGCCATTTTGGAGAATCTCTCCCCCACCAGCAGGGGCAGAGAGTCAAGGTCAGTGCACCTGGTGGGGGTCAGTGGGGTTCCCACCTTAGTTCCACCTTCTTACTCTCTTATCTCAGCACCCCAGCTCCCAGGAGTCTTTTATTTGCAAAAGAGAGAAAACACAACTCAAACGGCTTAATGTTTTTGTTTCTGTGTTTGTTTTTAATCCCAGGGCACTAGCTTAAGGTATAGCTGGATCCAGGGGCTCAAAAATATGTCTTTGAGAATATATTTTTCCCATTATGTCGCTTAGTCAGTCTCCCTGCTCTACTGGCCTTATTCTCAAACAGACCCTCCCAAAGCATTGACAAATATGACAAGCAGCTAACAATCTATCAGTTGAGCTAGACAATGGAAGAATAATGCTTCTTTCTCCAATATTTCATCAAAATTCCAGGGCAGATGCTCATGGGTTCTGCTTGGCTCAGCTTAGGTCATTTGCCCAGCCCTTGACCAATTATTCTGGCTCAGGGAATGCTGTACTCTTGGCCAGAATGTGTCACATGCCAGCACTGGGAAAGAATGAGAACCTTCTCATGTTCCTCTGTAGGGAAAGCCTGGTTATTGATATCAGGAGGGACAGAGGCTACACAGGCAAAAACAGATGGCAATTTTACCAATAATCGTAGGAAAAAGTCTAACATCAAATTCATTTGAAGTCACTGTCATTTAAAAACATACCACAGTATTTATCCAAATAAATTGAAAACTTATATCCACACAAAACCCTGCATATGGATATTTATAGCAGCTTTATTCATAATTGCCAAAACTTGGAAGCAACCAAGCTTCCTATTTATCCACTCACCTACTAAAGGTAGGTGAGTGGATAAATAAACTGTGGTGTGTTCAGACAATGGAAGATTATTCAGGGCTAAAAAGAAAGGAGCTATCAAGCCATGTAAAGATGTAAAAGAAACTTAAATGCATATTTCTAAGCAAAAGAAGCCCATCTGAGAAGGCTATATACTATATGATTCCAACTGTATGACATTCTAGAAAAGGCAAAACTGTGGAGCACATAAAAAGATTAGCTGTTGCCAGGGGTTGGTGGGAGGGAGGGTTGAACAACAGGAAGAACACAGAGGATTTTTTTAGGGCAGCAAATCTACTTTGTATGATACAGCATGGATAATTATCATTCTGCATTTGTCTAAACTCATAGAATGTACAACACTAAGAGTGAACTCTAATGTAAACTTTATGGACTTTTGGTGAGAATGATGTGTCAGTGTAGGTTCATCGACTGTAACATATGTACCACTCTGGTGTGGGATGTTGTTGGTATGGGGAGGTTGTGCTTGGGGACAGAACATTTATGGGCACTTCCTGTACTTTCCATTCAGTTGTGCCCTGAAACATAAACTGCTCTAAACATGAAGTTTATTTTATATGTGTGTGTATGTACATACACACACACACACACACACACACACACACACACACACACACACCATAGTACAATTTTAGGGAAAGGGAAATCAACCTATTGTAGAACATTGAGACTTCTCAATTTTTTTCCCCATTGTAACACATTTGCTAGATGCAGTTTTCCTGCAGAAAACACTCTCATACAGTAGCTTATGAGCCACTTGTAATTCTCCTACTTCATCACCCCCTTACTTTCTCGCTCAGAAAATCACAACAAAATGCTAATCACTAAGGGTACCGTCACCATAATAGCTACTAAAATTTACTGATCACTTCATCTGTACCATTCATTTAGTTATTTATCCCTCAACTTGTTATCAGGCGCTTCCTATGTGCCAGACACTCAGCTTGGTGCTGGGGATATAAAAACGGAATGGTCTTTTCCCCCACGAGGCTATAATTGATGGCACAGAGGCAGAGATGCGGGGGGGGGGGGGGGGCTGGAAAGCTTTGCTGGTGCACTCCGCCATGCTAATACTGGGGTTTTCTTCCCAGTATTGATATCAGGAGGGACAGAGGCAGGGCAGGCAAAAACAGATGCCAATTTTACCAATAATTGTAGGAGAAAGTCTAACATTAAATTCATTTTAGGTCACTGTCGTTTAAAAACATACCATAGTATTTATTCTTCCTTCTGGGGGTGGGAGTCTGCCTTTGTTCAAAGAGGGCAACATTTTTCAAAAGATGACCAAAGCTTTAGCACTGAAGCAGTTAACAGCTTCTCCAAGGACAGAGCACCCTGTGTCCCTAACACAGTGCCCACTTCAGTCCTGGACAAACAGCTTGGCATCCATGCACAGACCTGGCCTCTGTGCTTCTCCGGGACATCCCTGGCCTCAGCTCACACCCAAGCTTGGCTGGGAGCCAGAGCTGGGCCAGAGCAAATGTCAATGTCTCCAAGAACAGGCAGTGAAGTTCCCAGAAGAGAGAGGAGGTCACATGTCTACTGATATACTGCAATGCTACCATGCAGGAAAAATCGAGAATGGCTATAACAACAACTACAATAATAACAGCAGCTAATATTCACTGAGCCCTAACCACAGACTAGGTACTATGCCAAATGCTTTCCATAAAGAACCTTCCTTAATTCCTCATAAAATCTTCACGGGATAGGTACTCTTATAACCCTTTTGTAACTGATGGGGAAACTGAGGCTCAGAGTGGTTGACGAACTCAGTTAATAAGTGACAGCACCAGGATTCAAATACAGATTTGTCTCCAGAACTGGAAGTAAAGCCTGAGAGACATCTAGCAGTTACCTACTTAATTTGATCTACATGGACAGCCAAATTAAATAATTTAGACCCAGCCTTTCACTTTGAAATATAAATGATGGTTAAATCCATAGCTATTTGTGTCATGCCAGTTATGAGGACAGAACTCCATAAATATGGGCTGAGTAGAAGAGACATCAGCTCTAAATCAGGGGAACCACAGACACTGAAGACAGAGAGCTGGCAAGGTGGCAGGGGCGTGGGCTTTGGAGCTGGACAGATCAGGGTTTGGGACTCTGGGTGGCCTTCAGCAAGTAACTAACCCCTCTGAGTCTTCTCTGTAAATTGAGGATAATAGCAGCGCCTGCCTCATAAGGTTCTTGAGGAGACTAAAGGAAATGATGCTTGTGAAGTGCCCAGGACACTGAAGAGGTTCGGAATGTTCAACCCACAGCTACTTATTGATTATCTGAGATGTGTGTACAAGCCCTGAGCTAGGTGCTAGAATGCAGTGTCCAGAGAGACATGCATCCTGTCCCCAAGGAGCTCAATGTCTGAGGCAGAAATAGACAATCTACAATTATAAGACTAAGTGAGCCACATAGGGGCCAGGGTCTATGGTACACATTGGAGATCACCCAACCCAGACACTAGGGTTTGAAGGGCAGGTGTCAAGGAAGGCTTTCCAGAAAAAGCTGAGGTCAAACTAAAGCAGAGTAGGAGTTGCCAAATGAACAGGGGAGAGGAGAGGGTTGCAGAGAGCCAGAACGTTCTAAGGCCTGAAGACAAGGGAGAGAATAGGGGTGTGCCAGGAGGAACAAGTAGTCTATTATGCCTCGAATCCAGAGAGGAAAATGTCAGGAGCTGAGATTGGAGGGGTGAGCAGGGGTCGGTCTTGATGACCCTTGAAAGCCATATTAATGTGATTTGAACTTGATTCTTGGCCCAATCCAAATCAACATGTCTTTGCTGAGAACCTAACAGAAGACCAGCATGGCCCTAGGCAGGGTGAAAATACAGAAGACAGGACCTAGTCCTTTGGATGATTCTAAATAAGCCTCCACCCTTGTGTGGGTCTCAATCCCTCCATCTGCAAAATGCGCTACACCAAAGTTCCCCAAGCTTAAACCAGGTACAGATTATCTTCTTGACTTTTACCATATCCATGTACTACTGGTACTCTCATTTATTTTAATAAATTTATGATAGATAATAGATGTAAACTTAAAGGAAACATGGTACTATCTGAAATAGAAAATGAGTATTACTTGTCCTAAATAGAAGGTACCTATAAAAGTGCAACAATGTATTTAATTCCAGTTAGTTAAAATTTCATGCCCAGGGCTCTGAATCTGAGGTCTTCTCTCTCTTGGGGAGATTACAAAGTGTTAGAGAGGTGTTTAAAACCCACTAGCACTCAACGGGGGCTTTCTCATTAATGTATTCAGAAGGATGAGAAAAGATTAGAAAGGCAATACATCTCCCACCATGAGATTTGATGTTATTTAGCACCATGTCCATGCCCAATGACCTCCGAAAATACTTGGAAGTATTTCACACGTACCTCTGTGGTACGTGTCCCATACTTGGGGAAATGCTGAACTACATCATTTACTTTTAAGGTCCCTTCTATCTCTAATCCTCTAACATATGTGACCTGGAATGTCTTTCCAGAGGTAGTAGGATGAGAAAAGGTGGAAGGAGGGTTCTGTGAGAACACCACAGCCTAGGCAAAGATAGGGAGGTGAATATTAGCTCAAGATGCCCCCAGAGTAGCTGGCAGCCCGATGCTAACAGATGTTCTCTCTCCTACAGAGGATTCCAGTCACCATGTCTGGAATGTGCTGAAGTGAAGAAGTCCAGTTTGGTCCCACCCACAGCCAGGAGCTCCCCCATGAGAGAGTGCTCCCGTAGCTCCTCCTATGCCAGCACCCGATCCTCCAGTCACTCCTCCCGATCTCCAAACCCCAGGACCTCTCCCAGGTACACCCGGAGCCGATCCACCTCCTCTGAAAAAAGGTGAGTGTGATTTTTGACTTTGCTCTGCAGCACCTTCTCCCTTAGGGAGTTAGCTAAGGTAACTGGAGATGTCCTTTGATCCATAGGGAGAGGAGTCACACAGACATAAGTTTGAATACCCATTACTAGCTGGTGGCCTTGGGAAAGTCTATTAACCTCTCTGAGCTTTAGTTTCTTCATCTGAAAATGAAAACGATAACAATACTTACCCAAAAGGTTTGTTCTGGGGAAAAAACACCACGTAGAGAAGTACTTGGAACACAATGAATATTAGTTATTTCTCTACTATTGTTACAATTATGAACTAATATGTATCAGCTAACTTCTGCTGCATAAAAAATGTATCCCCAAACTTAGCATCCTTAAAACAATAAATGCTTACTTAGTTTCTGGTTCTGTGAATCAGCAATTGGGCTGGGCTCAGCTGGGTGGTTCTTCTGATCTCTTTGAGCTTTTCATGTGCCCTTGGTCAGCTGGTGGGTTGATGGCCAGGGGCTGGCTGGTGCGAATGACCCCAGCCGACTGATCTCTACTCCATGTGGTCTCTCATCCTCCAACAGGCCTGTCTGGGCTTGTTTACATGGTGATGGCAGGGTTCCGACAAGAGAGAGCAGTAGTGTGCAGGGCTTCCTGAGTCCTAGGCTTGGAAGTGACATGACATCCCTTTTGCTATTCTAATTAGCCATAGCAAGTCACAAGCCAAATCAGATGAAAGGATGCTCCTCTTTTTTTTTTTTTTTTTTAAAGACAGATTCTCACTATGTCACTGTGGGTAGAATGTAGTGGCATCATCATAGCTCACAGCAACCTCAAACTCCTGGCTCAAGTGATCCTCCCCTCAACCTCTCACTGAGGGGCTACAGGAGTGCAGCCTGGCTAATTTTTTAATTTTAAGTAGAGACAGGGTCTTGCTCTTGACTGAGGCTGGTCTTGAACTCCTGGGCACAAGGAATCCTCCTGCCTCAACCTCCCAGAGTGCTATGATTATAGGCATGAGCCACCGCACTTGGCCAGGATGCTCCTCTTAGTTGGAGGAAATGGAAAGTCACATTGCAGAGAATGTAGACACAGGGAGAAGACAAATTATGACCATTTTGCATTCTTCCACTCAATTTCAATAACCATTGGTAATTGCTTGATTTATTTCTCATGTGGAATAATGATACAGTAGGGTGTAAAGATGAGATCTCAGGAATTGGAAGATTCCATCCAAACTAATCAACTCATGGTTTCATGGAGTCCAGCTTCCCTCTGCAAACAGAAATTCCCAGTAACAGACTGACCATTCCCCTTTTATAACTATATAACAACAACAAAAAAAATTGCTTACTTAGTTAGTTATTTCAAGACCATTCCATTCCAAAAAAGGAGGCAAAGTCGCTTACAAAAATATTCAACATGACATAGTGACATAAATAGAAGAGCAAATTAGGCTAAAAGTAAAATTAAGAAGAGGAATATAAAATTAAGTGAGGAGAAAGGTTAAGTCCCAAAAGGTACGTCCTATCATTCTGTGTAGTTGCTATGAAGGTGGGTGGCAAATGTGACTCTGAGCTCCCTAGCAAACAAAAAGGAATATTGCTCCATTAATTGTTACATTATTAACAAAAACGAATTGAACCAGTTGATTGGAAAAGCAACTATTTCTGATTTTTTTAAGTCTATGAAAAATTATTTAGAGAGTTCCACAGAAAAGGGACACTATATGGTATAGTCAATGGAAATGCCTGACACATCCTTTCAAAGTGTCCAAAAGTATGTTTCATCTGGATTCTTTCCCATAATATCTCTCAATGCACAGCCATAGAGCAAGTTGGCAAAAGCAAAATTTCCAGGGGCTATAGCTGGAGACTGTCCCAGGGCACTGAGATTGAAAAAGCTATTCCTTCCTCTATACTCTCTAAAAGTGAAAGGCATTAGCAGAGAGGGAAGGAGACTGGAAGTAGCACAGGGATTAGTCATTTGGATTCACAACAATATAATCTGCAGAAGTCAAGAGTGCTTTGGAACCAAACACACCTGAGTTCAAGTTGCTTTAGAGGCAAACAGATGTGAGTTCATATCCTCTACCATCTCTGTGCCTCTGTTTCCCTATCTGTAAAATGGGATTGATAATAGTACCTAATCCTAGGATATGTTGAGGATTAAATGAGATAATGCACACAAATCATTAATTTAATGTCTGGCACATAATAAAATACATAATAGTGACAGCTAACATTTCCCATGTGCTGATTAATTGGCACTTAACATACGTGTCAACATGCTAAGTGGCTTACCTTAATTTACTCATTTAATGTGCAACTGTATAGGATAAGTACTATTATTACAATGCACCTTACAAATGAGAAAACAGAGGCCCAAAGAAGTGAAACCACCTGCCCAAGGTCTCAGAGTTAGTAAGTGACCAGGATAGCAGGCACTCAATAAGAGGAAGTTGTCAGTATTATTATTAATATTAACCACCCAGAGGGGAGGGGATTTCATTCCTATGACTGGCCTGCAGAAAGAAAAAGGTCGCCTCCTGGGGACTAGCTAAATATAGCTGTAGAGGTCCCTGACAACCCAGGAGGACACTATGCAGGCTCCTCAGAGGCTGTTACCTCTCCCCCAGGTCCTACTCCCGCTCTCCCAGCTACTCCTCCAAGTCTGGCAAGAGGAGCCCCCCCAGCAGGAGCTCTCCGTCGCGCCGCAGCCCCAGCTACTCCCGCTACAGCCCCAGCAGGTACCGGCCCCGCCCCCAGGACAGACCCCGCCCCTTTGTTCTGATCCTCCGCTCTGCCCCCGCCTCCCTGTCCCGCCCCTTGGATAGTCTTCCTCTTAAGATTCACCCTGCCTCAGCATTCTTGCAAATCCCTTCGTCCAATCAGGAGTGGCAGCGAGGCACCAAACATACCCTTGTGTCCTCACGTCCCCAGCCCAAGCACCCCGACAGCCACACTCCAGAACTCACATCCTCTGCCCTCAGCCTCCACCCTACATCCCTATACGCAGAGCCCCCAGTTCTCACCACGCACCAGGGCCCGCGTAACATTCGCATCCTCGCCCCTGCAGCACCTGCAGCACCTGCCCACCCGCAGAGGCTGCCACCCCTGCACGCGCCCAGCCCCCACCCCGCGGCACTCACGGGTGCCAGCGACTCGTCCCACAGCCCCGCTGTCCTCCCTCCCGTCCTCCCCGCGGGTCGGGCACCCCCATCCCCTGCCTTGGCGGGGCGGTAAGGAGAGGAGGCGAGTGCCCCGGTCTTACACTCTCGCACAGAAAAGCAGGCCCTGCCCCAGCTCCCCAGTAACCCCCACGCCCCTTCAGGGAGCGGGACCCCAAGTACACCGAGAAGGACTCGCAGCAGCGGGAGCGCGAGCGCGCCCGTCGGAGACGTAGGTCCTACTCGCCCATGAGGAAGCGCCGGAGAGACTCCCCGAGCCACCTGGAGGCGCGGAGGATAACCAGGTGCGGCCAGAGGAGGGGGGACCCGCCTTCACCCTCGTCCCCACTCCGGTTACTACCTGTCCGGACCTCAGGCTCGCCCCAGGCCTCCTTGGGGCTGGGATTTCAGGAACGTGGGAGCTCGGGGACAGACCCCCCACCCCCAACCATTGAAATTAAGCTTCGGTCCAAAGCCTCGGGGCTGAGTCGACGTCCCCGCCTGCCGGCCCGCAGGAAGACAGCGGGGCCAGCCCGGGGAATCCGGAGGTGGCCGAGTGCGGGGGTGGGGCTACGCCGGGGGCGGGGCTGGGGAGAGAGAGGGGTCCCCTCTGGGAAAGGAGGCCACAGCGCAGAGGCGGGGCCTTGGGCTGGAGGTGGGGACAGACCTTCGCCCTCAGACCTGTATATTACACCCTCAACCCAGTGTGGAGAGGGCGAACTGCATTACTTAGGAGCCAAAAGGCCTTAGCGAGAGCAGTGGTGGCTAAGCGGGAGAGTCCTAGATGTGGAGTAGAAACGTGGCTGCGCCCCTTTCCAAGTGACCTCAGAAAAGCTCTCATGTCCCCGATCCTCAGTTTTCTCGCCCATGAAATAATGGAGGGGATAACTCCCAGAGTAACAAGAGGATGAAAGGAAAGGGGGGCAAAAAGCTGCGAGCGTGCTTTGTGAACTGAAATGCAGACCCTCACTGTGTGCCATCGTAATTGATTGAGTGATTCGAATAGGTGGAGAAAGCTTCCTGGAACAGGTAAGGTCTCCGCAGAACAAAGCTCTAGCAGAGAGGCCCAAATGAAAACCAATTTCTCAGGCCTGGAACGCTGGGAGAATGGCTGAACGATGCCCTAAGATTGAGTTGGGTTCTCCTCCTGGGCCTCCAAGCATCAGCTGCTCAGTCCAGAGACCCACCCGAGAGCAGGGGTGCCGAGTGCCCAGTGCATCGTTTCTGGAGACGACCTAGAGGAGGAAACAGAACATGTACCCCAGAGAAGCCCCTTTCTCAAATATCCCACAGAGCAAGCACCCTGCCTCAGCTTGTAGGGAATTCCCTAAACCCACTGCCTTGACCAGAGGTGGCCTTGGGGTCAACTTGGAGGAAGACCTAGATACAGAGTGGCATTTCCAAAGGGCTATCTCGTTTCCTCGGTCACCCTCAAACAATCCATCTTGATTAACCCATGCCGTGTTTCCAAAACTTCATCCTCCACCAGCACCTTTACCACTTTGGCCTTGTCTGCTTATTAACTGTACTATTTTTTACTTAATTTTCCTTAAAAAGATCTGCCCCTTTTAGAGGTCCATACGTTTATTTCGAAAGGAAACTTGATACAGTACAATAAATGGAAAATCAGCCTCTTTTTGCCATAAATAGATAATTCTAGTAAAAGTAAAAATAGCAAAACAAAACTACGGTTAAAGTTTAGATGTAGATTCTGTTGCCAGCTGGAAGTTCTGAGCCCCAGGCTTGATTCGTTTAAAAAATTACAAAAAAAAAATAATAATAATAATAAGAAGAAGATGATGATCTCTTTTCAAGGCATATTAGCGCTAAACTGAGATTTTCTCTTTGATGTCCTCAGGACTGCAAGGGAAGTGGAAAGGGAGTATTTCTTCCTGAGGGACTGGGAAATGGAAGGGTACTGCCTTCCCCTGGGACAAGACTGGGGCTCCAGGGGCTGATGCATCCTCCCTCTGCTCTCTGCAGTGCCCGGAAACGCCCCATCCCCTACTACCGGCCCAGCCCCTCTTCGTCTGACAGCCTCAGCAGCGCCTCCTCGTGGTACAGCAGCAGCAGCAGCCGCTCGGCCAGCCGCAGCTACTCTCGCAGCCGGAGCCAGAGCCACGGCCGGAGCCGGAGCAGGAGCAGGAGCAGGACCCGCACTAGCAGCAGCTCTAGCTCCCGCAGCCCCAGCCTGGGCTCCCGGAGTCGGAGCCGGAGCCGGAGCCGGAGCCAGAGCCGGAGCCGGAGCCGGAGCTACAGCTCGGCAGATAGCTACTCCAGCACGAGGCGCTAAGCAAGGGCCTTCCCTTGAGCCAGCTGCCCGCGGGGGTCCCTCTCGCTCTGCCAGCCTCCCCCACCACCTGCCCTCCCTGCCTTCTCCTTAGTGACAGATATTGAGGGCTCCTGGACCCTGTCCTTCCTGCCTTCCTGGGGAGGAGGAAAAGAGGGTGCCAGGAGCTTCACCACCTTTGTCAAGCTGCTAGGAGCCTCTGTACCAGCACCATTCTGGGGCTCAACTCAGGACTGGGTGTGCGGGGAGAACCATCCTCTTGGTGGCACAGGAAAAAAAACCCTCAAGGTTTTGTAAGAAGCAATGGGTCCATGACTGAAAAGTTGGGGCCTGGCCAGGAAAATGGAGAGACAGCTCTCACCTGCTGCTTGCAGGGTGCACACATCACAGGAGGCCAGTGGTAACCCCCTCACCTGCCCTCCTCCTCCCCTCGTCCAATCTCATGGCTGCACGTGGATGGACCCCCATCAGGGGAGACCAAGGGCAGTTCTGGTCCAGGATAAGGGGTCAGCCCTTTAACATCCTCAAACAGGCGGGAACAACAGCTAAAAGACTTTTGGGTCCCAGAAGAAGGGACACACCTGAGTAGGGGACATGGACATTTGAGTTGGTGGTGGGTGTCAGGAGATAGGACATGGGTTCTCAGCTAATGAGTATAGGAGCAGAAAGGAAAGGCCAGTCTGCTGCTCCCAGTAGCTCTGCAAGGTCAGGGAGAGGAGCCCAGCAGGTCCCAATTAGGGAGAGGCCACTACATGGCTCACACAAAATGCCTTTTGGCTGTTCACAGGTGCCCTGCAACCCCACGAGAAGGGAGACAGTGGACCAGTCAGGACAGCTTGGTTTAGAGCCCCCACTTCCCAAATTTGCCTCGGCCCCACTTGCTGGCACCAACTTCATTCCATGGGACCATCTGCTGCACATTCCCCAGTGCCATGGCCAGTTGCCAGGTGCCAGCGCCAGCCAGTCTGGCCTTACCCTCTGTTTGGCGCCTGCCGGCCCCCTCCCCACTGCCCAGACTGCCACGCCCTGGATCCTACCCAGGCAGCCTGGCACCTACCCACCCACCCTGCAGCCTAAACTACTCCCCTTGCCTCTCAGGAATTTTGCCAGGATGGGGCACAGCAGCTCAGGTTTGGGGGGAAAGACCCAAATCCAGCGCCCAGGGGAGAGGGGCTTGGATGCCCCATGTCTCGAGCTCCTGCTGGCTCCTGAAGTTGGGAAAGACCCACCTTCATTTCCGCCCTCGCCCCACCTTCCCCCTGCCCAGGGCTGGGCAGAAAGGGTAAGTTGATCTCTGAGATACACAAATACCACCAGCTGCTTCATCCACAGAAGGCGCTGAGAACAGGGAGGTGAGGAATAGGATCCTTAAAATAAACTCCCGGGCATCCCCCTCACCAGCTGACTGGCTTTCCGGAGCCCTGTGGGTGAGTTTCGAGTTTGTGGTGGCAACAGCAGCAGGACAGGACGTGGAGGGAGAGAAGGAGAGAGGACAGTTCCCAGATAACTATGGATTATGGGGAAGCAGGACCAAACATTCTGTATCCCTCCCACCCCAGGGAAAACATTTGGAAAAAATACTCGTTGTTGGAAGCGGTGACCTCTACCCCACCCAGTCTTTCCCATCCTACCGGCGCGTGGGGCCAGAGACTGCCATGCAGCCCTCCAGAAAGCCCTTTCTCCCTCAGGAGAGAGGAGCAAGGTGGCCCGGGCAGCAGTGGACGACCTGGCCTCCCCACAGGCCCCTCTGGCCCCAACCTAAGCCCCGCCCACCAAGACTCATGGATGCCAATGCTGTCACCGCAGAAGGCCAGATGGCAGGTGCCTGGGACAGGGGCCAGTGCCCCGAGAGGGCATGTACCACAACTGTAAATAACCCTCTTCCCCGCCCAGGAACCCAGACTGGACTCCAGTCTCCCTTCCTGGAGACAGAGGCTTCTGGAGCCACCAGACCTCCTCAACAGGACAGCTGTGAGAGGCGTTCGAGCCTCCTGTTCGAGACTGCCTTCATTCAGACAGCTCTAGGGGACCACGTCACCTGGGGCTCCTAGCAAGTCTTTTATTTATTTTATTTATTGATCTGTTTATTTATTTATTTATGTGATGACTTTCTCTCGTTCCCTCTTTCTCTCCCCATTAGCAGTATTTAATTATTTATTTATTTATACAGAGAGGTTGTGCGTGTGTATGTGTATGTATGTTTGTGTCTGGGGGTGGGGGAAACTTCTAAATTATTTTTTATGCATCTCTCTTTTTTTTTTTTTCCTGTCTCTACGGATGGGATTTGAGAGGCCGGAGGTAGGTTGGCTATTGGTCTTTTCCCTGCAGGCTCTAAGCCAGGAGCATCCTTGGCCCAAGGTTTATCACTCAGTTCAATGTCAAGGAGGTTCAGACCTGTGCCTCCAGCCCCCTGTCCCCCACCTACCTCACTGTGGTATCAAAAAGATGAAAACAGCCCAGAGACTTAGGAGCGAAGGTGCTGGATGGATACAGAGGAGTCCCAGCTTACACAGGGTTGGAGTCTAAAGCTGGCATGTGAGGCTGAGCCGCACAAAGTTGAAGTCCCTTGTGCAGGTGCCTTAGGGAGGCACACGCTGGAGACAGATGTGCTGCCGTCTCTCAGCAGACTGATGAGGCTTCAGCTGAGCACTCACTGAAGTAGTTGCCTTGTATTTTGAGGGCCACTGTGGGTGGGGATGACGTCTGGTTTAGTATGGGGATTGCACTTGGAGTTGACGAGGAGCTCACACCGTGAGTGTAAAGCAGGAATTGAACTGACTGGGAAAATAGGCACTTGTGGACTTTGCACTCACTCCAAGGCACATGTTATGGGGCAGGATCACTGCCTGACCAAAGCTGGTTGGTTTCATGTAAGTTACACATGCTCCCATTCCACTTAACCTAATTTCTCTCCATCTCCCGCGATTTGGTTGGGATTTGCCCTGTTCCCTTTGCAGTGGACTCGTGGTGCCTTGTGAAGAGGTATCAGCCATCCTGGGGGAGACTCACAAACCCAAAGCAAAAGTCTTTTCCTGTGAGCTTTTGCTGTTCCATCAGAGAAGAGCAAAAGGCTATTTTTGAAATTAAGGGGAAAAAAAATCCCAAGATGGAAGGAACAGCCCGATGTTCCCCCCAAGAAGGGAGGAATATTTCCAAACCCATCCTGGGAGAGTCCAGGATCCAGAGGCCTTTATCAGTCCTCCCTGTTTGACCAACTGGAAGTGTCTTCCGGCTGCTGGCCAGAGAGGGCTCTTACCTTTTCCAAAGTCACTATCCACTGCTTGCAATTGCCAGCTTGCCTGGTCCAACTTTGGGTTTGGCGAGATTTTTGCAAAATCCCTGGTTGTTTCTCTAGCAATGTGAGTACCTTGCCCTAACCCAAGCAAGGGAGTAGCCCTATTCCAGGGAAAATTTATAAGAAGGCTGTTTAACTGCCTCTGGGGGGAGGAAATGTGTTCCTATCTCTGTCTCTCTCTTTCTCTCTCTCACTTGGTATGTTCCTCTCATTTCTTTTACACTTCCTTTTCCCATCCCAAAACAAAACTCTTGTTGGGGCACAGGTAACCTTGATTAACCAGAACCCTCAGTTCCTGATAGGGCTGTTCCTATGTCTACTTCACTCTCATCACCTCTGCTTCCAGGGGGTAAGACAGGTCACCTGCAATCTGCTCATGGTGAGGACTTCACTCACAAACCAGCATCCAGAAGGGGAAGGAGATGTGCCTCCCAAGCCCTTTGACCTTCCTGCCATGGATGTGCCCTGGATGAGTGACACTGGGCCAACTGCCCACTTTGTCTGGGCCAAAGTGCCCACCTCTGTGAAGCGGAGGAGTCTTTGAGATACAATCCAAAATGTTGAGCTGAGGTCTGGGAGAGCCATCAAAGACAGAGTAAGCTTCACTGAGACTTGGAGGGAAAAGGAAAAGAGCCTCAAACATTTTTAGGGGGTTCTCAATCCTGAGAGTAAAAAGTAAAAACCAAAAGCAAGGTTTGAAGCCCCTTTAGTGAAAAAACTAACTCATTCAAAGCTTCCGTCTAGGAACATTCTGGTTCATCGAAGTTTGGCCACATTCCCATCTCTATTTCTTCCCTCCTTTGAAGGAAAGTCAGTCTTTCAGAAGCAGAGTAAAATTAAGATGTTAGAAAGACACAAGGGGTCCATCTCAGAGAGCCCTATCACTTCATCTGTTCAGACTTAGCCTCTTTCCCAAAAGAGGTTTGCTTCAGGAGGCCAAAAATTCAGGGCACTCCCAGAGGTGAGCAAAGCTAATTCCTTTCCTGCTCAAGTCCAACTTCCATATTTTCTTCTGCTGTCTGCTTTTCACCTCTTCTTTTCCACAAATATTCAAAGTAGTCTCATGTGCATGTGCCTTGCCTTGCTTTCCCCTTTAGCTGAATAGAAAAGTTTGTCTTATAACTAAACAAAATTGAAACCAGTCTTCGTCGAAACACGCCTCCTCCTCCATTGGCCAGCTGAGACTCTTATGCCAGATACTGAGTCATTGAGCAATGCTCCATCGAAACCTCTTCCTTCTCAATTCTGCAGCAATGAGCCAATGATACGGACACAGTTGTCATCTCTCCTCTGCCTGTGGCTGTTCGGCTGTTGTTTTGTTTGTTTGTTTGTTTGTTTGTTTGTTTTTATTTTTGCTTTTATTGGGGGGGGATTTTTAGTGATTATTGTTTTGCATTGTAAATACCATGATGGGGGGTAGCCCTCATCAGAACATGGCTTATTTAATAATTTATTTCCTATTTATTGAGTGATATTGGGAAAGGAGAGGGACCTCCTCTTCCCCTGAATTGCTATTGGAAATTGGTCCATCTCCCAGCCCCAGGTGCTGCTGTCTGCAGCAGGGGCATTATCGCCCAGGTAATGAGTGCTAGATTCACCGAGCAAATTGGAATTGGCAGAAACGGAGGCTTCAGTCATACAAATTAAGCGCAAATGGAAGTAAAACACTGGTTATCTCCAGGAAAACCTCATTTAGATGGAAATTAATTGAGGAATAAAATGCCTGTGCACGAACCAACTTCTATTAAAAAGTCACAACTCCTTGGAAAAAAAAGAAAAAAAAAAGAGAGAGAGAGAAAGAAATTGTAAACCTTTTCCTCTGGCCAAGAATACATATGCTTCATCTTCTAACGAGCCAAGCCAAAGGGACTGGAAGGTTGTTCCTGTGTGGTTCTCTTGCCTGTGTATCTGCCTGAATGAAATCTAATGGGTTCTCAGGCCCCAGTCTTGTCATCTGTAAAATGGGGCCTGGCCTATGTATTCTTGGCAGGGTGGGGAAGGGGTTTTCTGGCTCTGATACTGTGAACTCCATCCTTTTGGATATATTGTCCCTTGTCTTTTCTGCTGACTGTAGGTGTCAATCAAATAAGGAAACAGAAAGATATGGTCTGGACTTCATTTGCAGGGTGAGGTCAGAGAATGTGAGTCCCCCAGTCAGATATGGGAGATCCCCTGTCACCTTGATGACTCTTTTAGACTGGGCTAATGCCCTCTGTATGTAGCTCGAACTTCTCTCTAAGCCCAGTGGTCCAGAGTCATCACGGGAGAGACCAAGATGGCTTTACTTTGCCCTGGATTAACCACTGTTCATTGTCAGGCCATATTTTGTACAATCATTCAATTAAGCCAGTGATGTGGGTCATATTGCCACTTTTCAGATGAAAAGAGTGGGACTCAGGAAGGGGAGCTGACATGCCCAAGCTCCCTTGAGCTCAGACCAGCTTGACGCCAGGTGCCATGTCAGGTCTCTCCAGGGGTCTATGCTGTGAGGACTTCTCTCTACACTGCACCCTTTCTCTCCCAATTCTCAGCTATTTCCTCAAGTGGTAATTGGCCAAGGACCTAGCAGAATCCACCACATTGGCTCAGGGGACTTGGTGCACCCCAAGGCCCTGTCTCTGCATCGGGGTCTGGGACTCCTATCTGGAAAATTCCAAACCCGAGGACCCACCACCACCAGCCCAGCTCAGCCTGATCATCCGGCCTCTGCCTGGAGCATCCACATCAGAGAGAGAGAGAGAGAGAAGCTGCTGTGTCCTCCAGCGTCCTGGGACCCTGTCCTCTGCCCAGTGACACAGCAGCCACAGCTTGCTTGATTTCTGGTCTCCACAGCTAAGCATAACCTTCCTGGGGTTTCTGGGTTTTCAGCCTGTACGAAACATGTCTCTGTTCTAATTAAAGGTCCCATGGTATGGTGTTCTCATATATGGCCCAGTGTCCTCTGTCTACACGGGGTGCCCAGGAGCTGAGAAGAGGGAAGGAGACAGGGAGGTAGAGAACACTTAAGCAGCACCTGTTGCATACCATGCATGTTCACATTGCCCAGCTAACTTCTCTAATCCTGAAAACAAACCAATAAATATTTTGGTTATATATATATATATATATATTTTGGTTATATATATATATATGTTATAGTGGCATCTATAGAGTGTCTTAGGAGATATTTTCTCAAGCATTTTATATGCATTATCTTGGTCTTCATCACACACAACCCTATGAGGTAGGTATTAGGATCTCCTTTTTACAAAGAAGGAAACTGAAACCTAGGAAAAGCAAAGTGACTAGCCCAAGGGTCACAGAATCCAAAATCAGTGCTACAATCCAGGCAGGTGGATGACAAGCCCCAGACTCTGCTCTGTAACACTTCAGTTTGTGCAGTAGGTAACCAGTGTTCTTTGGTAGAATTGTCTTCCTCTGAGACCTTGATGGCTGGGAGGACATTCAGTGGAGGGCACAGATTTTGTAGTCCAAAGACTTAGATTCAAATCTAGACCCTGCCTTTACTGGCTGTGTGGCATTGAGCAAGGACCACACCCTCTTGGCGCTTGGTTTGCTCATCTGTAAAATGGGACAGCAACAGCTCCCTCCTGGGCTGCTGTGGAACTAAGTGAAATGGTGCACGAGAGCACTCAATGATGGTTAGTGGGCAGCATGACTGTATCCTAAACCGAGACAGAGCTATGGTAGTGAGTTTCATGTGGACAGTCCAAAGTAGCCAGCTTGGAATGGACAGGGCCCTGCAAGGCCCTGGGGAGGCCTCTGGAAACGTCCTCAGTGTAGACTTAAAATGTTTCTTACCCTCCAGAGCAGGTGCCA